ACTGGCTGTACCCGGCTTCGAGAATACTGTGTTCGGAGCACACACAGCACAGGAACCTACGGAGTGGCAATGAACAGTCGAGAAGGAAGTGGACTGTGAAGTGGAATGTTCGCCTGGGACTAAGACCTCAGGCCACAATCCAGCGAGCGTACCCTGCCTTGCCAGCTCAATGATCACACAGTTGGCAGAGCTCAAAACCTGCCAGAAGTTCAACCATTGTTCGATACTCAATTGTGTTCAAGAAAATCCAACATCGATTGAGGACGCATATCCCCAGTTACAGCCGAAGCTAACTTACTATTGACTGACTTGCTTGATAGGTACTGTACCACTTACCTTGTACTCCTCCTCCCCTCTCATCTGGTTCTCCAGGACAAATACAGCAGCAGCAAAAGCAACAGCAAGAGACTTGAAAGTCCCATGAAGTTCTACCCACCATTGACCAACCCGTTCGAGCCAGCCAGCCAGCACACAGCAAGTACCTCAAACCTAACGCAAGATCGATGCAAACTACATACAGGTAGACAATAGTACTGCACTATGTCTATATCTCACTCTTCCCCCCCCCACCCTCCTTTCTGATCTTCAATCCAAATCACAAGAAGGAAGACAATAGCAAATACAGTAGCACGTACAAACACCAAAGTATAAGCGCATATACCCCAACCGGACAATGTAAACCTCGTGCACATCGCCAAAACGAGAACATCTCATAAAAAAAAGGAAACAGCCACTCTGTTTCCGGAATGATAGTATTCATGGATGATAACTTGAGGGGGGGGAGGAAGGGCCGCCGCGACGGCATACAGACGGATATGTTCGCCGTCTTGCTTGATCAAAGAGAACAACCACTCGGGAGAGGGGATCGTCCTTAGCAAGCATGAAACTTTCGGTACTCATAGTGTCCTGATAGATGCAGAAGGATGGGGGGTGGGGGACTAGTTGGGTCGAGGAGATTTGTCATAGATAGGATGCCAAAAGCAGGAAATCGGAGGTGAGAGGCATTCACACATACAACTTCCCGGGAGGGGAGGGGGGGGGATTTACTGCACTTTGTCATATTCGGAGATAAGTTTTGGAGTTTGAAGAGGAAGAGGTGTGCAGTAGTCAATCAACCAGACTATCGAAGGTTAAAATAGGGCGTGCTCCTTCGTCTTGATTTTTCTTTTAGGGAAGGGGTGGAAGTTAGGTGATCTGCTTCCTACCTCAGTAGCGTAAAGAGGTCTGAACTTGGAAGGGCCGAATTTCTCATGGATGGGGGGAAGTTTTTCTCAGGAAGGTTACTATGCCTGAAGACGAGTGGGTTCAGGATAGAAGTACAGTAGTTGAGTGCTGCGGTGAGGAGGGAGTAGCGAATTGAGGAGCTGAGGTGAGCAACTAGGTGATTGATAGGCAGGATCAACTTGCAGCCACAAAATTGAGGCCTGGGGGCCTGAGCTGAGCCACACAAGAGGTCTTTTGCCACCCAATATATTGTTCATCTAGTATGTACTACCTCAGACAAAGAGGTATCTAACTTACTACGAGTGCATAGCAAACACAGAAACAGGCCAGGATCTTCAGCCCAGCCACAATGGGTTGTGTGTTGTGTGCACGATACCATGCGGTGGTTTTTGGGTCACCGCAGTCCCCAGAGCTACTGTACACCGTATGGTTATTGTCCGGTCTCGCGACGGAGACTTTGGTTTGGAGCATCAGTACTTTCTGATCGACCGTCCTCGATCGCAGTAGCAGCACATAACTAGTGCAGAGACCCAGAGAAAGTGGGGAGTGACGACGACTCGAAGTGAGCCGCTCGCCTACACTGGTGAAGCGAGAAGTACTGTACTGTATGTATGTATACAATCCTACTACTGCAGCTGCAGCTGCAGCTGCCTCACCATCATCATCACCATCATCATCATCATCAGCGTCAGTAGCGGCTGAATATCGTCGGCAAAACGAGAGTCACTCCCCTCCTCCCGCCTCTATTTCGTTGGCTCGCAAGATCAGGACTGGTCAGACACCCTCGTAGAACGCTCTAGCCTTGATTCACATGCAGCAACACACACACACACACACACACACACACACACACACATACATACTCGAGGGGCATGAGTCACGTACAGTACCTCGTTCTCGTCTCCCCCTTCCTCGTCTCCCCCTCCTTCGACCTTGGACTCCACCGCCAAAAGTACTCTGCATAGCATAGTACATATAGACCCGGGGGTTTATCAACCGAGCACCCGAATCTGGCCAGCGCGATTGCCATCCTCATGGATGGGGAGAATATATCCTGGATGGAAGCCAACTCCGTGCGTCCAAGCTCGTCCCCCATGCTTGACGGTCGACAATACACGGGCAGTATAGCAAGTTCTCCACTTTGGCCCCCCTCCTTCATCCTAAGCGGTCTTTTATTCATGACCCGCTTGTCTGGCCATCTATGCCGTCTCACGAGAGGGAGAGGGGGGTGGGGAGGGAAACGGTACGTATTTTCCGGGACTTCTCGCCTAGAACAGAGTCAAAGAAAAGAATTCGAGGGGACTAAGGGACAGTGGAACAAGCGAAAAGAGATCGAGGGAGGGTCGGCCACTCGACAGTCAATGAATGGTGTGGAGATTGCGGTTCTGGATCTTGTGGAGTCTTGACCACCAGAGCTAGCGGTAGGTAGTTATAGGCTATCTACTCCGGTACTGTGATCCACGATAGATGGAGAGGGACGAAGTGGGGGGGAGCGAGAGGAGCGAGAGGAGAAGATGTCCGCGCGCGCGCGCGGGAAAGTAGTCAGATGCACGGGTACACTGGAGCCTGAATAGGGCGAGCGTGCGAACGGCTTGTGCTTGACAACTCGTGGGGAAAGGACCCTCTGTTCATTTATTTCGAGATTTCCTGTTGGTGCTCCTTGGGTGGGTTTCTTCATGCGGATTGACTCGTGGACAAGCTTGTCTTCGCCCTCTCTCGCCCAGCCCGCGGGGCGAAGTCATTCTCTATTTTAGTGTTGGGGAAATAGTATTAATAGTATTTAGCAATGGGGGCGGCGGAGGAGGAGGAGGAGGAGGAGGAGGGGCCCCAAGCCCCATCAGGAGGGCTTCTTTTCTCTTCGTTTCTGGGATCTTTTTTTTTTAGATAGTGGTGCGACAGAGCAATTAATCCCAGACTGACTAGTCACAGGGTCTTTTGTCGATGAGAAGCGAAGCGACTCTAGTTCGCTTGATAATCATTGGATCTTTGGTGGATGGCAATGAAGTGAGTGAATAACAGGTTTGTTGATGATTGAATACAGAATTAGTGCTGTTGGCTTCGGTCGTTGCTAGACGGTGCAGTACATACGTACACACTGAAGGTGGAGGTGGAGGTGGAGGTGGAGGTGGAGGTGTAGGTGTAGTAGAAGATGGATCGAAACTATTGGCCATGGGAGGATTCACAAAGATCTGCAGCCTCTTTCGTCCATCGGGGAATGGGGAAATCCCGTAGCTCATTGGTGGTAAGAGCCTAAAATGGACGGGGCGCCCATGCCCTTTACCTTAGTATCGGGTCGAGATTCACGGCGATTGAGTTTTTTCTTTTTTTCTTTTTTTTTTTTTTTTTTCCCTTTTTTTTGGGGTTTAACCCCGGGTAGGTTAAGTTAATTGTTTGACCGACTATGATTATTAAGTTAGGTTCGATTGTTTCCCGTCTGCCTGGACCCAAAAGGCTGATTCGGTCCCAGTAGTTAGGGACAGTACTCCGTACGTAGAGTTTAGAAGAAAAGCAAAAAAGTAACAAAAATAAAGGGTAACAGAGGAGAGGGAGGAAGGAAAAAAAAAAAGAACCCCCAAAAAAGCAAACGAAAATTACCAGAAGAAAAAAATAACACTCCCTCACCCTCTAGCCCGATTGACTATCGATGTTAACTGAACAAGGAGAACAAGAGAAGCATAACGAGATTCAAACTGAACCCCGAAGACAGTGAGGGAGGAGCCACTTTCTTCTCCCCGAGAGACGTTAGTCGTCACTCGATCCCCGTCGCCAGGGTCACTCCTGGGCCCAGAATCCCGAGCCCAGCCTGCAGGTGCCCTGTTCCGGTAAGTTAGGCTTTTCTTGCGCTTTGCCCTGGCAGTGGGAGTGACTCGAGCAGAGGGGAAGAATTAACTTCCTTGACAGCGGGAGATCCGTTGGGAATGAGGTCTGGTGGTTCGGGACAACGGCGTACAGTCTCAGGCCCTCAACGGGGCAGTCGGTCTTTTACAGGATCCCATCTCTATCCCCTAGTGTTTGCCTGGGTGTCCACAGGGAAGGAAACTGGGGAGGTGAGGGGAAGGGGGATCCTCGGAAAGTTGGGAATTGAGGATTGACTAACATCGCAAGTACTGTACTCTGAGAATTTTTCAGAGTTGCGACACCATTGGAAGTGCGAAGAAGTGTAGGAGCCAAAGGTCCAATCGAGGCAATAGTCCCGTCACATCACATCAACCTGCATTGGTCCACAGATACATGTATACACATGCAGCACGAGATAAAGCAGCTCTATCTCGACGGTAAGCCGCACCATAGCGTTTGGTGATGGAAGCAAGGCTATCGCGGGTCGACTATTCAGAGTTCCTAGCTGGTGAATCGAGGTTGGTTGTACGAAAAAAGCCTATCCAAACTAGGCAGGGCATGTGCTCTTTGGAGAGGGGAGAAGTTGAGGAATAACCCAATCCTCCGTTCTAAGCGCATACACATACAGAGCACAATTAGAAGGGGATAGAGCGACAGACAGACAACATTACGTATCCATCACGTACGACTTATCCTTGCGTGCGTACTTGCGCAGTCAGTAGGAAGGATGGATCATTTCAGTGCCACCTTCCCTTCTCATCCATTCTCCATATGAACCCGTTTATCATCATGGTTACGTCGAGTTATACGATCTACACATGTTGACAAGCATGCCTGCTCGAAAACGGGGAAGGGGAATGGGTGAGAGCAAGACAACGAACTGCAGTGCCGTCCTTGTCCCTGCATGATCTGATTCCATGTTAGGAGGATTTCCAATGATGTATGCGATTGGGAGTATTCGTAAATTAGTTAGTTGGTCAGTGAGTAGTGAGTGAGTGAGTGAGTACGAAGTACGTGAGGATATAGGTGTATACTTTACAGGTACGTAGGTAGTTACTAGGTGTGGTGTTCAGTACACACATTACCTAGTGTTAGTGTAAGTGTTAGTGTTGTTTAGTGTTTAGTTACCCGGTGGATCCTGGTCCGTTCGGAGAGAGGGGGTTGCAGTAGGGGCAGTAGATGCAGTAGATGCAGCAGTTGTGGTGGGGGCATTGTTGACCTGATAACTACCCTAAACCCCAAACAGATAATTCGGAAGGACAGTCTAGCCGGGCATCTGGAAGGGATCGGGGATTCCACATGGTCCCCGAGGAGGAAAACATAAACCCCGAGCAGAGAGGGCAGCCAATCAATACCTGCATGCTTCCCCGACTGCAGCCCGGTCGCAAAGCCCACCCCCGCGACGTCATGGTCGGTCACTCAAGGTACCGGAGTCAACTGGCTGAGGTACTGTACCACCACCAACCCTCCGCCATCGGACATCAATTGGCATGATGCAAAAAAAAAAAAAAAAAAAAGGCAGTTCCTTACTTGGCCAGATCTGGGTTATCTCGATCATCACTACCTGCGGAGTACAGTAGTACCATCATCAGTACCCTGTCACTGTTATTCCCAGTGGGAGGGTTTAAGCCGTTTTCCCGACCAAGGATCTGGATGCTGGTCTAGGAATGAATGGTCACGGAAATACCTCTTGATGATGATGATGATGATACCTTACTAACTACTAGTATCTAGACCGAGTAACTTACGGTACATATATCACCAAATTGATCTCCACAACAAATACGTGCAGCTTATGTAGATATGCATCACCTTTTTGAGTGCTGGAACGAGGATTTGTGACACTATGCCCGGAGAATCCGAGCGTGCCCATTAATTCACGCAAACCAAGGGTGATAGCCGAGGATCTACTCCGCTTTCCTTGAAAAAGTACTCCGTACCTTGCCAGCTGAATGCTACTCGAGTCTTTGCTGATTTGAAGACGAAAAAGAAGTAAGTTGGTTGTGATGCATTCCAGATTATGCTTTTAAGTTCTTTTTTCTTTCTTCCCCTTTTTGGCAATGAGATACACATGATCCATGAGGCATTGCAATGAATAGAGTTTCGAGAGTTGACTGACAGCCGGTGCTCGGACCCCCTGAGGTTCGCAGCCTTCAAGGCCCGACAGTCAGGAAACAGCGGCGGGATGCGAGAGCGCCGTTCGCTCCACCCCCCTTCTTCTTCTCTCCTGCCTTTGTGGTGCAGCTCTCTATCCCGATCCAAACCTACCTACAGCCCATCCTTGTTCAACTTCCCCTTCAGCGTTGCACCGCATTGCATGAGAGCAATGATGAGACAGGGCTTATGTGATTATTTTTTTTCTGATCTTATTGTTTTTCCTGTTTCCGTTTTTCTTGTTTTCTCTTCTTCCTCCCTTCACCTGTCGCCTCCAAACCGCAACAGCTACCGGTATACTTACAGTTGCCGCTATCATCATCGTGTCGATCCGATTGCGTATCTCGTCATCCACCGCCTGGTTGGAGTCGATTTCCCCCCCCAAAATATGTGGGGGGGGGGGGAAAACATGTAGCATTGATGAACGTACTGCACGAATTAAACCGCCTTCTGCCGCCGGCTGAAGGACTACTATATAAATAGCACCTGACTCAATATATCCCAAGGTGACTCTAGCCCTCTAGCCCTTGAAGCTGGAAGCTGGAATAGCATAGAAGTGAGTGCTGCTTGATTTTCAGGTATGCCGCAAGAGACAGACAGAGAGAGAGGGAAAGCTGCACGCTAAGCCTCTCCAGTGGCAGCAACTAACCAGGGTTTATCTCAAATACCTCCTTTGCATACTCCTCAATCTCCCATTCTGATTGGTACCCAGTCCCTAGGGCAGATTGAAAGCCCGGGGACCATCATCATTCGCGGACGCACCTGATGGGAGGAAGACGGAAGTAGCTGAACCAGCACCAACTGGTCGTAGCACTGTACATCCCTCCTTCAGCGACCGCTTAGCCTCCGCTGGCCGGGGCGCCCGCCCCTCCCCTTCCCTTCCCTTTCGTGATCAATCAATAGTCCGGAGCGGTTTTGAATTGGTGAAAGAAAAGAATGATCCTTGTGTGGTGGTCCCCTCCCGGGCCCCCTCCCCCTCCCCCCGTTAAGGAATGAGCTTACAAAACCACGAATTTTACGAGAACTTCCGCCGAGTTTCATGCGGAAAGCATTTCCACCACCGTGTCAATCAACCACCACCACCGATCGGTACTGGTTACCCTCATTCGGCTCACCATTGGTCCTTAGCGGACTTCCAACTGAATTGCAATATCGAGTTGAATATCGTTGCAAGATAAAAATGGTAAAGAATACACCTATAGTGGTTGATGCATCTGCATGTACCGTATACAGGTACAGGTATACAGTAAGGTATGTACTGAAATTGAAGTATGCATTCCGTATAGATTGTATTGGTATGTCGATACATACATACATGTACGGACAGTACAGCATACCGTTTGTCGTTCATACACCCACACATCCTGCAACAACACCCTCCGTACCACGAGGACACAAGAAGGAAAGACCAGGGAAGGGAGAGGGGTTCAGATCGCCAGGTGAAAACTGTACGTACCCGTCCACATGGCAGTTTTTGCAACAACAGCAGCAGCAGCAGCAACAGCAACAGCAACCGCAACCGCAACCTTCTCTCCCACACGACGTAGATGGCGTTTGACGGTTTTTCAATAGTTCCTTTTTGCTTTAAAAGAATCGATTTTTGCCTTTCCTTCTCTCTCTCTCAACCCAACCCCAATCCGGATACGAGAGAGAGAGAGAGAGAGGGATGGCTTTTCTGCTTTCCCCATAAAACAGACCGACCTTTCAAAAAGAGCGTTGGATCTCGCTAGCCTTTTCCTTTTCCTCTCTGGGGACGGGCGGGGACATCACGAAGAGAGGGGGGCGGGCGCGGGCGCGCAAAAGGTTGACTGACACTTCTGACAGACGTTGGGCAGGATTCAATCATTCAAGGGGAGGGAGTGGGTAAGGTAGGGGGGAAAGGACTATCGTTGGAAACCCTGCTCCACTGTTAACAGTCGTACCGAGAACTTAGGATTTCGTAGTTGAAAAACTTGATCAATGTTTTTCTTTGGGTGCTGGATTGAGGGTGTGGGTAGTGAAACAATATGATTGTTGTTGTTGGTGTCTTTTTTACTTTTGCCCTCGGCAAATCGTTTTCCTCTTCGTCTTTCTTCAGTCACTCCCTAATTGCTGCTTTCGTTCATTGCTATATTTCTTATTCTTGACTTTCTTAATTCCTTTGTGCAGGTTCTTTCCCTGGATAAGCCCAGGGAAACTAAGGCAGGTACTAGGTAACTTACCAGATAGTGCTGTGCCTATGGGTCCATGGGATCGAGATACATACATCCGATCTAAAGGAATCCCGTTTATCATTCCCTGATCTGGACTAGCTCTGGAGTTCCAGAATGACAAATATCTTTATTGGGCAAGCCAATCACCTTGGAGTGCCAGTGTAGAAAGGCTGATCGGAGCAGTGGTTCGTCACGTCATGTGTGGCTCAGGGGTTCGTGCATTTTGCTACTACTCCTGCCCCGTTTCTTTTTTGGTTGTTTTGCATTTTCCTTTCGGGAAACAAGCTATATAGTTAGTAAGGTAAGTTATCTTTCCCAAGTTCGAGGTACGGTACCAAACTTTCATCGTGTATTGGCGGATAGGTAAGAATGACATTCATCCGATCGGATACCTTCCAATGTTCATGGACCAAGGTTCATTTCCCACGGTTCGTCCCTATAGAGCTCGTGGCATTCGCCTAGAAGTCCTATCGTTTAGTGATCTATCATGGATGCGTGGTCCAGCTGCCTAGCCGACGCCCAAAATGAATCTCTTTCGATGGGCACTTGGCTTTCTGGTGCGTAGTAGAAGTTCTTGTCTCGGATGACAGCTAGAATTAGATAGTGAGTGACAGTTAACCCACCTTTCCGTCGGTAAACTGCTAGCTCTAGAACAAGCAGAAAGAAAAAAAAAAGGGTACCAGAAAGGTGACCATGCGCTGCTCTGTGCTGCGAATCTGTAACAGAACACGGACAGTCTTTGCATTTGGTAGACACAGGGTAACGACGATCTCGCTTCACGGAGAATTTTCTCTTTCTTCATTTCCCTTGGTTGGGTTGCACCCGCGTTAAGAGTTTACCGAAATAAGGCTGGGGAAAAAGGAATTTTCGGGGCCACTCTATGGCCGGGGGAGTGGGTGATGCACCGTGTAATCTGAAACCACGCGAACGGAGAAGAGCAACGATCGCTCGTTACTTTTGCCGACTACCTCATGATTACTCATGATTGTCGATGACAATGATGATGATGAGTTGATAACAGCACGATGATCTGGATAAGATCGACTCACCATACCCACCTTTCTCCGCTTCCATCCCACGACCAAGGATCACTATCGCCTTGCAAGCTTCGATCACTTCAGATCGGCCAATGGCGGTCATGATAGATCTCGATCGGACAATCCTTTGTTTATGAGATTCCATCATCACCCAAGATGTTCTGAGAAGCGAGGTACTAGTGGACCATAGTTGTAAAAGAGGGTTAACGTTAGCTTCGTCGTCCCGTCAGTATGACAGCGGGACAGGCGCCGCCGCATGATTTAGAAGCACCTCCGGTGAGTAGGCGACATCTCCTGACTGGCTTAGCTGTGGTACTTCCGTTCCCTATGACCGATTCCAAATCTTCCGACTTCCCCGGGCGATCGTAGTCCCCGTATACTAGTCGCCGGTTTACGTCTCCTAGGCTGGCGATAGTGGATGGGATAGGGTAGTATCCCTAACCACCTGTGGTCACTGCTGGGAGCGTATCTGCGTATGTCCTTCGCAGCAACCTGCAGAATTGATCAAAGCTAGTCTTGAGACGGCAAGTCATTCGCCATCATTCTTAGGAGTCAACCGATCTCGCCGTGTATATGTCTACCGCGCTCGATCCAGGGGGTCCAAATAGGGGAAATCCTGGATTGTTCGATGAGATCTATCATCCTTCTACTGCATATGCGATACAAGCGAACATGTCCGAAAACCTAATGGACCCGGAAAAAAAAGAACCCTGCAGCAAAACGTGAGTCAGTATTTTGGATTTGATTCGTTGATTGGACTGAAACCGCCGGAAATATTGGTTTTTCTTTTTTTTCCCCCTTCCTTTTTCCTCTTTTCATTGGAAGGGGAGGGGGCGTATTTTGAGATTCGCTGGTGGCATGTGCGATATTGCAATTAGCCCGCTTCCCCATCGACTGTGCCCCTGAATGGATGCATTCAGGCGGTGCTCGAACCTCCCCGTGGGAGTGTGCTATGCGCCTGCATCGGAAAAGAACTCCAGCGATGAAAGGGCGATGTGCCGAGAGGATAAATTAGTTAGTTTGTTACTCAGAGCGTGGAATTTAGTCAGCGCAACTGTGACAATCAAACACTAATGGGACCGAAGGGATGGGATTCTGTCCCGTGTGTTTGGCACGGCGGGATTCGGGTCGAGAAGCTTACTGGCAGGCTGGCAGCTGTGCGTAATAAATACTGACTATTCGGGAGCAGCGGACACACCGTTGAAACCAGGGGGGGGGGGTCGAACGGCATAACTTACCAAGTACCTGGTTAAGGAGGACGGAGGGTTATGTCAAACTTGGAAGCATGACTAAGAATGTGCCGCTGAAGACAAGAGTACAGAGTAACCTTAGGTACAGTACACTCCGTACTCCGTATAGTAAGTACACATGTACGTAGTAAGTACGGACAGACGGTCATGCCTGGGCCTGCAGGTGACTGACTGACTGGTAGACGAATGATCCCCGAGAGGTACGGAGTATCCGTCCCAGAAACCATCCATGATCGAGATTGTGCGCGATCTCAATGCCGATCTCATCCCGAACAGGTATAAGACCAAATCAACCTTGAAAAGATTCCAAATTGTTGCAGGTTGGCCAGCGCCAATCACAGAGCCCCACTTTAAAACAGTTCGAGGTCATGTTTTGGATAACGGTCCACGGGGGGAGAGGAAGAGAGGACGGAGTAGGAGGAGTGGGAGAAGTGGAGAGGTCAAGTCGGAGCGGGAGGAAATAATAGTAATTAGACTAGATTAATTGTAGCGGAATTCGATCATTCTCCTCGACATCTCATGGCTGGCTGAGACGGAGAACCACCACCACCACCGCAGCAAGCTGAGATTTCCTCTTAGGGAATCATGCACCTTCCATTCTAACGTGGTATTGATGTGTAATAATCTGTAGCCGCCAATGGATTCCTCACCCTCCCTATCTACTAAAGAAGGTAAAAGAAGCTAGACCGGGCTTCGTTGATCAACTAATAAAGGGAAGTAACTTAATAGATTAATTCTAACTGTAAGAGAGCAACCATGGCACAGTCCCTCGTGACGAATTTCAGTCTGTCAGGTACAACCTTGTAAGTACTTTTAGTAAGTACTCTTGATATTTGTCCTCAGTAGAGTACGTAGTAGTAGGAAGACCTTTCTCATACATAGCCCGATCTGTCACTGCCCAATTTCATTAGTGTGGTGGATCCATCTTGATTCGTGAGTCTCTCTCCTGGTTCAATTCCTGTCTCTTGTGCCTAGAATAAGCCCTGAATGAGCGAGCGCGCTGCCCGTGATGTCGGCGCAGCAGCTCAACAGTCAACACCTTCAAGTTTCAACACACCATCTTCCACCATGCGGGCGGAAGGGGGCATGGCAGGAAGCGAAGGTGGTTTTGGCTTCCATTCCCTTGGATTCCCTTGGTTTATTTTTACCTACTTCCCTGTTCCCTGCCAGCCCCTTCCTCCGCTCTTGTCGTTTGTCGTTTGTGGTTTGTTATCATGGTCCCCGAAGGAGCCCGCCCCGCAGGATCCATGAAATTCTGCATTCGACGTGTATGACCCCCTTCCTCGCGCATTTACCTACACTTCGCCGTTTTTGCCGCACCCGTTGCTCCTGTCAGGGCCGCCTGAACTTAACATAGGCATGGGTCAAGCTGCGGCGGTTAGTTCGCCTCGGTCTACAGATCGCTTATGACTACAGGTCGCCATGAGAGCGGGAAGTCCGCCACCTAATTCTCTGGCTTGTATATACTTCGATATCTACACTGCTACGAGTGTGGGGAAATGCAAACACAAAAAAAAAAAAAAAAATAAACAACAACAACAACAACAACAAAAAGTGATCAATTGTGTAAAGTCTTAATTCATTTTAAGTCACAAGAAACAAATCAAGCTAAGCTACTCCGTATCCTTTCCGCCATATCTTCTCGAATCTTTAGGACTATCGCAGAAGGGGGATAGAGAAGGGAGAGAGAGGGTTTGTAGGATATATGGCGCTTGTGCTCTGAATGGAGTTACATCGTCATCCTGGAACTTATATAGCACTAGTGAAGATCATATTACCAGGGTGCCCCATGCAAGTAAACGCCCCAGAACACATTGCTCGCAGCAAAAGCATTGCAATTAGAATAGCTCCCAAAGATCTGGATGGTGGCTCCTCTACCAACTATAGCAGCACTCTGAAGGTCAGCCTAGCCTTGCCTCAGATATAGGTGAGCAACTGGTTGGCTTCCCCTGGACGACGTCTCAAACTGTCTCTGTCTCTGACATAACGAGTCGGTCGGTCGATGATAGACCCAAGCAGCGCAACAAGTGAGCGGAAACACGAAAAAGCAAAGGTTCAAAATAGAACAGAAGCTGCATGGAGCTACTACAGCTGTGCCTCACTCGGGCCAGCGACTGGCACCTCAAATATCCCTGCTGCAACACCGATCCTGTGGTAAAGCCCGTCAGTGTCCGGGAATAGTGGCAATTCTTGCCCCACGACCCAGAAACGCCAGCTGCAGCAGCTGATAGCTGCCTTGCTTGCTTTTTCAGCCGCGTGGTTGTTTCGCTTCCCTGTCAATGATGGGTCCGATTTTACCGAAAGAAGATACTGCAGAATGCGTGCGCTAGATTAAGGAGAGGAGATGAGATCGGTTGAGCCCATGTTCAATTAAATGGTAATGGTGATCTGATCGCTTCTTTGTGATTGTGGTTAGGTAAGTAAGTGTGCTTGGCTGAGAATGGTTAATTGTAGACAGAATGATGTTTGGTGACAGACGGGGGGAGGGGGCACTGGCAATCGATCTGTCTAGCCTCTTTGGTGTGGCCTAGCAGTAACATACTGTCGAGCATCAGTCGGTTAGCCGTACGCATCTTACCCTTCCATATTCGAAGTGTACTGATTCTTTCAATTACCATACATACGTACTGGTTATATTCCCGTCGTATAGTAAGGAATGAAGGAAACTAGAAAAAAATAATTAATTACCCTATTCTCGAGAATAATAACAACCGCCTTTATTTCTTTTCTGGCAATCTTTTTTTTTGTCAGAAAATAGAAAAAAAAAAAAAAAAAAAAACATTCCTCCGACAACTGTCAGCTCCGAGATCTTGGATCAGATCTTCTCCTATAGCGTGCTGGTGTGGAGCAGTAACCCATTTTTCTCTGACCCGTCTCCCTGGTCATTGTATCCTTCTGTTGCTGCTTGTTGCTATAATAGAAGATCGTAACCTGTCCATCTCCATCCCTCCTTTACTTGACTATTGTTAAACCGTCCTTGTCAACATCTCTTAAAGTCCCGTCGGGTCTCACTTTACCTCTCATCCTATATCTACCATCCCCAGGGACGCACCTTCGAACCTTATTCCCTTCAACAAACCAATTTCCAAGTCCCTCGACTCTCGATCTACTGCTTGCATCACCCAGCTGCTTGGATCTGTGGTCATTGCGCCTTACTTCTTGCCTACCCTTTCAGCTGGTGTTAGTCCTGCCTTGTGCACTACAGTACCTTACCACATACCTGCTACCTATCTGCCTGCCGACTACTAGTGGTAGTACTGGACGTACACTCCGAAAACAACCCCACGGTAAGACGCCCTTGGCTATTTCACTCTTCAGTCGTGCCCCACCCGCCCATACATTATCTCCAACAGTATCTGCCCGCTTCCCTTCTTCAACACCCTATGTGTCTACATTGATGGTGTCCAACTGTTATCATTCCTGTCTTTTCTTTCCCTTGTTCCCTCCGATCATCTACTGTGCCAGAAGTCTAATTTTCATCTCACAGAAACTCAATCTTGAATCTTGCTCTCCACGGTTCAGCCGCCCCTTGCAGTTTCATTTCCATCCACAATGGCACCTACTCATCGTCGTGGACCCTGGGTCCCAGAGGAGGATCAGCTACTCCTACAGTTGGTTCGTGAACAAGGCCCCAACAACTGGGTTCGTATTTCTCAGCACATGCACTATCGTTCTCCCAAGCAATGCCGGGAGCGATTCCACCAGAACCTGAAGCCCTCATTGAATCGCGAGCCAATCTCGGCTGAAGAAGGCTTGATGATCGAGCGCATGGTGAATGAGATGGGCAAGCGGTGGGCTGAGATTGCCCGGCGCCTGGGGAACCGTAGCGACAATGCGGTCAAGAACTGGTGGAATGGCAGCATGAACCGCAAGAGACGAGGCCTGCCCACTTCTCCTCACTCCGGACGCACTCTTCACGGACGGATCGAAGCTCCCTATGCACGCACTTCTTTGGCTCTGAGCAGCCCCATTAGCCGATCCCGCTACTCCTCTATCTCCAGCGAGAGACCGATTTCCTCCTGGACCAAGTCTCCCTCTTCCCGCCGGGAATCCTTGTCAGCATCTTCGATCAACTGCCCTCGGCAGTTGACGCCCATCTTTACCCTTCCCGCCCTCAACCGCCCAGTGGAAACGCCTTTGACTTCGCCCACCTACTCAGATGCCCCCTCAATGGAGCCACCATCGATGGTCTCGGATCACAACTCGGTCTCTTCCTCGCCCAGAACCGTCGCCTCTCCTCAACTTCTCCCTGTGCCGGTGAGTGTGAGACACCTCTATGGCGATGCTCGCAGACAAAGCGCATCATCCTTTCAAACGACCGACGAAAGCTACCTCCCCAATCCCTACTACGGCATCAAAACGCTGGAACCCCTTTCAGATCTGTCTTTCAAGCAACGATGGACTTCCGACTACCAGCCGTGGAACCGACCATCTTCGTTATCATCACCTACCTGGTCTGTCGCTTCAGAAGATAAGACCGACTCGCCACGTGATTCCCGCATGGGTCTGCAAAATCTGCTCAACTGATTTACGGTGGTCCTTTCGTTGACCTGCTGAGAACGATTGCATGACTCCTTCTACTTCGCCACGATATCTCCAGCCATTTCTCTGTATATTTGAGAGCTCCGACCGACCCTTGTCACTCTTTCCTGATCGTTTCCCTATCTTTCCTTTGTATTCATACCATGTACATTGTTTTCATCTATGGTTCGGGCTATCTCCACGGCGGGTCACGTGGCAAGCGACCGAACCGTTTTTCTTACGGTACGAGAAAAGTATTCGGGAGAACATCTGGTGTTTCTTTTTCTGTTTGATCTCTCCTTTGTTTACTGATGACCTTTTAACTATGCTGCGCACTTCTGGGTATAGAGCGGGCCAATGTCGAAGGAATGTGTTTTGTATATGTCGGTTCTGATTCTTTCGGCCATTTTGTGAGCTTGGATTTGGTAATACCCCATTGGTTGTTTTTGGTTTATTACAATATTTTGTCACGCGCGGGAAGAGCATTATTACTATTATTATTACACCTTAATAATACCTTAATATTCCCTTGACTTGGAATCATGTACCGTCCACATATCCACTCAGAGCATCGCGTATCCTCGGATGATTTTGCCCGAACCGATCCATGAGAAGCGCCGTCTCGACCGTTGCATCATATTTGAAGGAGAGCAGACTGGGAACAAATCAGAAGGGGGAAGTTGACCGGTTCCCGCGACACACAGCTTATCCATCATCCAGGTGGCTGGCTGTCATCAGCCCATTCTTCGCCAGTCAACGGCCATGGGCTCACGCGGTTGCGCGCAAGGGGCGGCGCACAAGTTACGAGGAGGCGAAGAAGACGAACGAGGCAGACAGAACAGGCACGGACGAGTCAAAGCAAAATGGGCCGAGCAGTCCAGCGATTCAACGTCTGGATTAAGAAACACGCATCATGAACCTGGAAAAAAGCAAAACCCACAGAACACAAAACACGACGAAGAAGACGAAGCAAAAGCAATCCAGGTAGACTGTACTGTAACACCTTCTCACATACAGAGTCTTGCGCATGGAGCTGAGGATCGATAGGTCTATTGAGAAGCGCAGCTGACAACCATCCTTCTTCCTCCCTAGTATGGAACCTCCTCTCATCCCCTCAGAATGGATGCAGTGGGTGGTTCATGCATGGCTCGACTACCAATGGCCGGATGTTCACACCCGCTTCCTTTACCTACCAGTCTGCAGAGTGGATGTGGGTGTGTGTGAGTGGGTTGGCCCCAGTCAGGATGCTCGGGGAGGTAACTTACTGGTAGGTAAGGTTGATAACCCAGAGAAAGTTTATCCAGGGACACTCAGGCTGGCCGAACTGTGATTGACTTTGGAGGGGGGATAAAGGCTTGCATGATTCGCCAGTGCCCCTCCTTGACCATCTTTCCTTCCTCCTTTCTCCTTGTTTTTTTCCCCCTCTCTCTCTCTATCTCATTGCGCGTTTGCAGCCGTCGCTAACTAACGGTAGGAAGAGGCATCGGCCTCGGCCTTGAAACGGATGGAGCGAACTGCAGACTTGTCCACCGGTGATTCACAAGTGGCTGCAGGAGATCCTATTTTGTTTTTCACCAGCAGCCTTTGGAGAAAAGTAAATCTAAAAAAGCCCCTTAGCGGACCACGTTAACTTTACCCCCCGTCCCCTCTTGTCACGGCTCAAGAAACGTCCCAACCGTCAATCCCTGTCTCGGTGGAGCCATCGCATGAGCGACGTCAAGGAGAAGCAACCATAAGGAGGAGAGGAGGAGGGGGAACGAAGAATAGGCAAAGGAATCCATCGCGCCACAGGAATGTCTCCCTCGGACTCGGCTCTCATGTGCCACCACCCACTGGCCTAGCTCTAGCCAGTAGGCTGTCCGCATTACCTAGCATCCTCTTCTGGATACGGTCATGATGGATCAAGGATGGCTCCCTACCACCGTGGACTATCTGCCTGACTCGCCACTACGCTACGAGCAACACAAAGGCCACATCCCCTTAAAACACCCATTCCCCATTCGCTGACTGCATACTAATCATGGAAGCACCCTGCCTGACTCATGAATGTCTGGACCTTTTTTTTTTACCTCTGCTTACCCCCCCTCCCCCCCCCCCTCCCCTTCTCACCTATCCGTGTCTCTCTCTCTCCCTAAGCTGGGGGGCGGGAACCTGGCATGTTGGTTATAGACTAGGCTATAGAGCCCGGAGCCGTATGCCAACCAGTCTGCATGGAATCTCCCGGGGACCTTGCCCGGTTTTTTCTTGCCCGTTCCAGCCCAGTCCGCTGAGCACTAGGTAAGTAAGCTTGGAACTGTGTACCTGGAAAACCCTATCGATGTGATGCTAGGTAGGTCACTTTGTTCTGTCACTGAGAATGTCTCAAACAAACGTCCCTACCGGTTTAGCCTTGAGGCCATGTATGTATGTATGTACAGTATATGTGTACATATTTTTTATTGTGCATGTTACGGGTATCGCTTCCGCTACGAGGTTACGTTCTCTCCAGGCGCTCGGGTTCAATCAAACACAAATGCGATGATCTACGATATTCCCGCGCACCACTCGTTAAATTTCAACCCACCCCCGGCCGCTAATCCCCGCTCACTCTCGATTCGCCGAGGTTCGCCTTTAGGTCTGGGCCGTTATCGAATGCTTCTTCTCCTACTCCGTACACTGTACTGTACACATGACCAGTGCAGTTATTGGATGTCAGTGCTTCATCTATAAGTATATGGATGGATGGACATTAATTGTTACACAGGGTTGTTCGTGGCTCATGTATGTATACACATAAGTGGATGAGTATACACCCCAGACTGGGACCGTTATCCCTTGTTTGTTACACCAGGTGCTATATAAAAACCCCAGTGGAGCAGAATAGACGGAGCAGGAGTGGGATCTTGACTGAGGAAAGGATTCATCGTGGGGGAAGGAAAAAGCCATTCTCCATGAGTCGTGAAGTGGAATCCTGTTCCCTGTTTCGAACAATAAAACAAACAGGTTCAAATATAGCAACCGAAACAATGCTATTTATGAAGGTTCGACCCGTGACGATTGAATAACTATCTAGAGAGCGCGTCACAACAAGTGGAAGATGACGATAGGGTCAAGTTCACTTTTTCTTTACTTTCCAAACAATTCAATTCCTACTGTAGAAGAAAACGATCTGGGATTAATTTACTCAGTACAAGTAAGTTAGTCTGCACAGCCAAGAGATGGGGCTACGCTACTTACCGCCGATCCTCACAGCTGCTGTTGATTTGGAATTCATGAGCATTAGCGTTGCACTTTCCCTGTTTAGGAATAAATCAACACCGCAAAGAATGTTTTCTTTTTTTTTTCTCCCTATTTCAATTCTCCAACAGCCTGCCCAACGTGACGTATTTGCCAGGTTCATTCTTCATCCACTTGCAACTCCATTGTGACGAATGAATCGTGTGAAGTTCACTTCCTTACTAGTCAAGCTACCTAATTAGGTTTAGTTCTAGAGGGCTTGTGGTGGTGGTGGCGGTGGTGGAACTGGTGGGTTGTTATCATCGTGACTCGACTTCTGATTTTGTCCACAAACCACCGTTCTTACTGTGTACAGTCCTCTCCTCCAATGGACCCCCGAAAATCCGAACAGTCAAACACAGGGGACAAGAACAAGAACGAGGCTGATTGACGCTGCTTGCCAGTGGAGCACTCGGTGGAAAGGAAGAAAAACCGTTCCACGATTTGCTGAACATCAGGAACCGAATCCCAGTACGTACACCTACCTGTACGTAAATACTGTTTTTTCTGTACCAGTCAACTTTTACTATGTACCAATGTACTATACATTTCTTCTTCCCTACTCTGCTCAACAGACCCCTTCCCTGCAAGCTCTTTGTCACGAAATATAGTTAACCTATACTCGTCATGGACTATATGAATTTAAGATTAAAGAGACCGCTGGCGGTTTGATTGACGGGTGTTTATTGGGTAGTTGTGTTAAATTGCTTGCTTAATATCATCTATCCAAATTGCCCCTAGACAAGATCGAAGCTCAGCCTGACAGCTGAAACTGATCTCCACCCACCCCCCCAACCACATACACACACATACACGGGCTTTTTAGACACGAAGGGGGGGAAACAGACCAAAAAGAAGCCACAATCCCGCCTTCCTTTCAGCTTCCAGGACATTATGTACATGAGGATCGATTCTTGAAACAAACCAGAATGTTTCTCCAACCTTCGATCGCAAAAAGCAAGCTGGAAAGAATTAATCTGTTACAAACAAACAAGAGGACCCCTCTTCCCGGGAGGGCCCAAGATTTTCCCAACAAACACGATCTGCTGTGCGGTCTGGCGCGGGCTTTAATCTATTTTGTGGGGATTTAGTGCCCATCTCCGTAAATTGGAACTTGGACGAGTATACAAAAGGTTTTTTTTTTGTTTCTTCTAATTTTGGTCTAGGGTTTTCGAATAAAGGAAAGGGGGTGTGGGATACACATCATTGATCCATGATCATAATGGGATTCGAAGTATCATCCAGTCAGACCATGGAGGTAGGGGTAGGGAGGGAGGGAGGAAGCATTGAGGCTGGCGCGGAGTTTCTGTGATCGTCAGTTGTATGCAGCTTGATGCATGGATCGGGGAGCTTTACTTGGTTCCAAATAGATTATCGGTGACCATAGTTTAATATCATCATCACCTGTGAGATCCCCAAGCCACCCCCATATCGCAGCAAGTAGTGTAGTATATCTCCAGCTTCTGCCTAGATCCCGACTCCGTACTCCGTACCTAGCTGCCTGATCTGCCCGCATCCCGACGGAATGTAATAGCAGGCGGTCCATTATGCCTATCCCAAACCAAGATCCCGAGCTCTAGACCTTTGTTCTAAAACGGAAAGAAACCACCCATCCATCCATCATGAGGGATTGGGGGCCGATTCTCCCTCTCTGTCTCTCTCCTGCCTTCTCATCTAACTATGGTGTAGTTGGTTAGTTAGCTTCAATGCTCCATTAATAAACCCTTATGAAACCAGTCTTCTTGTCCTTATGCATGAATCGGATGTAAAATAAAGCCTGGAGATAACGCCCGATTACTTGATTCGGAAGGCAACGGCCCAAGCCTTGGAGTGACCG